TTTATGGCTTAGGGTTTCGGGTTTGTTTATAATTTAGGATTTAGTGGGGTTGAGAGATTAGGGTTTGTTAAAAGGTGTTTTCGATCATGGGTTTTTAGGGTGCTGATTCACCGCATACGATAAAATTTGAGGCCTTGGCGTTTAGGGTTGTGGGCTTTTGACTGCTTTCGGGCTGGGGGTTGACGCGTGCCTTCCCTTAGGTCGCGTAGAGTCCCACGGGCTGGAACCCTGAAACCAAACCCTTCGTTTAGGGTTTAGGGTTCAGGGTCTAGGGTTTCGGAACCCCCAAACCCTGAACGTCCTTCAACAAACCCAACCCCCACAAGCCAAACCCTTAGACGCTGAATGCGGTGAAGCTCAAGCCACCCATGTTGCACGAGGCTGTCCAAACCCTGACACCTGTTCTCAAGGCTTAGAGTACCGTAAACCGTGAACCCTGCATGGGAGTTTCCGGAAATTAGCGGTATCTTAGTTTTGGCATCCTTATAGTAAGGATCCTACTATTTAAGGTACTATATTAGGGTCCCCTATTTTCGGAAACCCCCCAAAGGTGTGTCAGCAAGGCTGTAAGTGGAGCCTCACCGGTCTGGATACCTGTATCACCGGCTATCAGGCCACCCAGAACCTGGTACACCAACAGGTTTAGGGTTTACCCCAAGCCCTAAACGGGTAAACCCTATACCCTAAACCCCGAACAATAGCCGAAGACCTACACATCCCAAAGAGCCCTGAAAGACACGAAAGCCTGAAGCCCGGTGCCTGCCACCTCCAAAACCCCAGAGTCCAAAAGCCTAAGACCCGAAAAGTCCTGCGGCACATGGTCCGAGACGCACTGACCAAAGATATCCTGCAATCTGCAGGGGGGCAGGGGGAGTTAGTATTCATGTAGGACCCTGAACCCTAAACCCTAAACCCTTTGACCCTTACCCCTTCACCCTAAACTCTTAACCTTAATATTAGTATTAGTATTACTAATGTAATTGGTAATAGTAATAGTAATAGTAATAATAATAGTAATAGTAATAATAGTAATAATAATGTAGGAACCTGATTAAGAAACCCGGGGTCTTCTTTAGGGTTCCTTATATGGGTGGTTGTCAAAACTAGGGTTCCTTTTTGGGTCCCTATTATAATACGGCACCTAATGTTTTAGGGTACCCAAAAAGGGACCATCATTTTGACAACCACCCCTTTGAATCTTACTATTTGGGGGCTAGAGGGCCAGGGTTTCTTACTCAGGTTCCTACATTGGGGTTTAGAGTTTAAAGTAAAAGCCAGAAAGTTGGAATATGATTATCCTATATAACCCCTTCATGGTAAATTATAAGGTATCCTACCCTGAAATCATATTCCAACTTTCCGGAGTTCCCTTTAAGGGTGCTTGCCAGGTCGGGCTAGCGGGGAGGAAGCTTTCGGTACCATGTGATGGGAGGCCACAAGGGTGGTTTAAGATTCTTGGGGTAGGGATTAGGGACTAGGGTTTAGGGGTTTTGGGAATTAGGGTTTAGGGTTTAAGATTTTTGGGGTAGGGATTCCATAATATGAACCCTATGATGGGAACCCTAATCCCTACTAAACCCCCATAGGCTAAAACCCCTTTTGGCCTCCTATGACCATGGGGGGATCAAGTACCTCGCAATCAGTTGCTGACCTAAATACCAACCTAACGTACCACTGTCCTAAACCCAAATTCGTAAGAATCTACGTACTTAACTAGGTTGGCCCTTTCAAACCTCTGACAAATATTCGCAACTAGAGTCCAATTAAGCCCAATAAAGCCTAACAAAGGGACAATATAGAATATCCCTAAAGGCCTCTTTAGTTGAAAAAACACGTATTTGGGACTCTTCGAGGCAGCGGCTATAAGTACAGCAACGACTCCAGAAAAAGAACTGACTGACTGCACGAGGTCCCATTTTCCTTGAAGAAAGAGCCGTTGGAGATGGACCCTAAACCCCACACCCTAAACCCTTGAACCCTAAACCTTAAACCACAGAAGCTTACCGAAAGGTTGACAGACTTTGCTTCGCCTTACAACCCCCCCGCACGTCTATGTTACTAGAATAGTTACTTGGAGGTTCATGGGTAGTTATAAGTTATAAGTCGGGTTATAAGTGGGGTAGCTACACATATAACCCATATTAGGGGACTTATAACCCCACTTATAACTACCCACGAACCTCCAAGTATGTTACTAGAATGGTCACGTTTACGGCCCCCATAAGGCTAACCTCGTGCAGACGGCTTTCTTCCGCGCCTTTGGCGCTGCCCAAGCCTGGGCCACGATCGCCGCCATGCACGCGACATGCCCAGAGAGCCCAATACTGCTTGGTTAAGGAATACAGCTTAAATCATTGTATGAAGCCCTATATAGTTTAAGCCATATTCCTTAATTAGATCATAGTATGAAGCCCTATATGATTCAAGCCATATGCCTGAATCAAGGGGGTCTTGGGCTCTCTGGGTGGGAGGGTGCTGTAAGTAACTTGAAGGCTTCCAGCGTAGGGCTTGGAGGGTTTACGAGAGTCGAGGTCGAGGATTCAGGAGAGGGGTGGGGTTTAGGGGTATAGGGTTTAGGGTTTAGGGGTTTAGGGTTCAGGGGTTTAGGGTTCAGGGTTTACGGGTTTATTCGCGGCCTGGGGCTCAGCGTTTGGAGAGTTACCTGCTGTTGCTGCTCAAATGGCAAGAATTACCCAACATTTACCGCAGTCCTCGTAGTCTGGATTACCCACGGCAATTCGGGCTTTCCCTTTTGGAGGAAATGAGTGATACTATCCAACAACCATGTGTCATGTGGGTGTTGAACTTTGAGTCCTTTCGCAGCATCCCAATTGCTGCAATGCAGCTGCTGTGCTTCGGGGTCGTGGTTCAGGGCTTTACTGTTCAGGCTTTAGGGCTTTGGGGCCGAGTGTTTGCAGTTCTTGTCGGATCACAAGACTGATCATTGTCCAGAGAACGGCATGGCACAGAAGCCTCACTTCCGAGCTTGAAGACACGGCAGGCAGCAACGGAAGCCGTATCCTTGTGCCAACAATGACGTTGCGGGCGACGATGACGGTGACGGTAGTCAAATAAAAAGTCTGAGACAAAGGGAGCAGGGGAAGGAAAAGAAGGCCGATCGCAAGCCCGCTTCATTCCAGCAAGCTTTCTTCTACTTTACCGACCCGGGTGAAAGATTTGTGTTATTGGCCTTTCATATGGGCTTCTCCCACCGGGGTATTTCCATGCGTTGAAGCGACATGGCAAGAAGAAAACCAGTCAGAAACAACAACAGACGACGGCTGGGACCCTGGTGCCGAACCCCGCTGATGCTTGCACAGCCATCCCCAAAACTGTCACATGGACAGACAGCATCCGAATGCGATTTTAGTGGAAGATGTGTGCCGTGCCGAGGGGTGGCAAAACGGCACTGGAAAAGCTTGTAGCAGGGACACCAATCGGTCAGTCGATTTTGAGTCTTGAGCATCCAACGAATTCTAAACGTGGAGCAGTTTCTTTGGCTCGAAAAGCGATGCTTAAAGGGAGCCCGCACTGCCACCTTGCAATAATGCAATGCTGCAGGCCATGGAAAACGGGGCTAGATGGACATTAACATCGCGTGATGCCTTCCTTGACACCGCTGCGCAGAACCTCTGCTTCCACAAGCGGAAGATCTTTAAGAAGCTCCTGTGTAAGCAAGTTGCAAGTTTTAGGCTTTTGGATTTGGGATTCAGCGTTCCATGTTTGGGTTAGGGTTTTGGGCTTTCCAAGGACTATGGCTTCAGGGAGGTTAAACTACCAGGAGGGGCAGCCGTCAAGGGCAAGTGAAGATGCACGGAAAAACGGTTCAGCCATTCGAGGAGGACCCCCGCCCTGTATAAGGGTTCAGGAAGTAGGATTTTAGGGTTTACGGTTTAGGGTTTAGGGTTCAGCAGCTCCGGGTCGAGCAGTTTTATAGTAGAGTTGTATTTACGGTCTTGATATAACACCCACCCACCCATAGAATCCCATAACATTAAGCAATATAAAGTTCTTTCATCATCATTCAAAGAGTTCTACCTACAACTTAGCTTGTCAAACTAGGCCCTAAACCTTAAAGCCCAAACCCTAGGCCCTAAACCCTAGAGCCCAAACCCTAGAGCCCAAACCCTAGGCCCTAAACCCTGAAGCCAAACCCTAGGCCCTAAACCCTAAAGCCCAAACCCTAGAGCCCAAACCCTAGGCCCTAAACCCTGAAGCCCAAACCCTAGGCCCTAAACCCTAAAGCCCAAACCCTAGGCCCTAAACCCTAAAGCCCAAACCCTAGGCCCTAAACCCTAAAGCCCAAACCCTAGAGCCCAAACCCTAGGCCCTAAACCCTGAAGCCCAAACCCTAGGCCCTAAACCCTAGAGCCCAAACCCTACCCTAAACCCTAAAGCCAGACCCTAGGCCCTAAACCCTAAAGCCCAAACCCTAGGCCCTAATTTTTCTCAGTTTACTGAAAAAAACCGCGAACGGATGCGGCAACCAGATTCTCAAAAAAAACGCCACGAAAAAGTCGAGCAACCCAGTAGGTTGCCCAATGCGTTCGCGGATATTTTGATGTGTTTGATTTTTCGGGTCATTTTGCGCAACCCGTTCGCGGTTTTTATCAGTTTTCTTTCGAAAAACCGCGAAGGCATTAAAGTTTATATACATAAGATTATAGGGTTTAGGGTTAAGGCTTAGGGGCTTACCAGGGCATTGCTACCAAATCCATGGAGCTCTGAGACCTAGTACTAATGCTTGCTGCGACGATCCTCTCGATGTGCTGGCACATCAACGGGCTCCAAGGGTAGGATGAAGGTAGGTGCGGTAATCCCAAGTAAGAGTCCTTATGTAAGGGATCCTTAATCCTACCTAGTATAGGAGCCTTCATGCGTATAGGGTTATTATACTATAAATATGACGCGGAACCCCCACAATAGTCTAGGTAATTATTGGTCCCATAATACCTTCATCCCACCTCTCGAGGTCCCTGAGCAAAACACAGTCAGGCCGACTAAGCGCCCTCGCACTCAGGCAGCACTGCGACGATGGATGGAGACTTGTGTGGCTGAACACCTGCATCAGGGGTTTGAGGGTTTAAGAGTTTAGGGTTTAAGGGTTTAGGAGGAAGATGCACAATAAAAAATGAGAAATGCAAAAGAACGGTAGGAAAATGCACTGATTGGCGGATTGAGAGAATGGGTGCGGTAGCGACATAGGTGATTTTGAAAGAAGAAAGACTGGACTGATGCCGGCACGGACTTAACGACAGGTATAGATGAAACAGTCCATTCGAGTGCTTTCACGGAGGCACTAGATATGCCCTGGAGTGAGGAACCAAGGAAACCATGTCGCACAGCTTCTGATGAAAACTACTCTCTCTGCTGCTTTGTATGCAGATAAGATAAGATATCTACATGTACCCAACCAAAGATGCACAGAATAGCTAGATACCGCTTCTTAACAACAAACTCAAGGAGGGGCGAAGCCGACCGAGGCACTGCAGCGACTCTCCTTTCGAAACGCTCCCTTCGCCGACACAATGAGACCGACCTGAGCTGAAGGGCTTAGTGTTTGGGTCTTAAGGTTTAGGTTTAGTGTTTGGGGTTTAAGATTTAGGGTTTTGGGTTTGGGGTTTCAGATTTAGGGTTTAGGGTTTGGGGTTTAGGATATGGGGTTGAGGGTTTGGGATGGGTTTGTTGTTTAGGGGTTGATTCCTTATCATGGGGTAGTGCAGGATCTGTATCATCAACCGTTCTTCTTGTACTGTTTGTTGCTTGTTTGGGGGGGGGGGGCGAGGAAGGTCCCGACTTGAGCAGCTTTTGGAGCCCTTGTTCAGCAAAAGCCCTTTCCTTAAGGGCCGGCCTGAAAAAAATTGGGGTCCCTGTTGGAATGCTTATGGAGGGAATGGTGGGGTTTCATCACAAATCGACATTATTACGCCTTTAGGTCTTGGGGGCTTAGGGTTCAGTAAACCTTCCCCTCTAAACGGCAACCCAGAGACTCCAATGTCCCTTAATTAAAGAATATTCCTTAAATTATGGTAGGATTTAAGGGATATCGGAGTCTCTGGCAAACCTCTCGACCCGGGCAGCGAACACCTCAGAACCAGGCAGTACCCTGCAGTTTGCTTTAGCTTGTGGTGTCGGATTTACAATACACATATTGCGACAGAGAGAGAGCGAGCGAGAGAGAGAGAGAGAGAGATAAAGTAATTCTTATTTCTTATATAGTTATAGATCTAGATATAGTTACGTATGTAGAGCGTGTGTATATATCCAGAGAGAGAGAGGAAGACAGACAGAGGCATTTATATGTATACATGTACATACTTGTTGGTTTGTTTATATGCTTGCACATTCATTTAAACATGCAGTTGGAAATATACATATATATATATATATACATATATATATATATATACATATATATATATATATATATGTGTACATATACGTGCATATACACATACATATATATATATATATATATATATATACACATGCATGTGTATATATATATATATATATATGTGTGTGTGTGTACAGATACACATATGAAATGTGAATGTATACATACATGCATATGCGTGTATCTCTGTTAATATGCATATACGTATATGTATGTGAACTACACATGTATATATATATATATATACACACACATGTGTGTGTGTGTGTGTGTGTTTGTGCGTGTGTGTGTGTACATGTATGCATGCATGCATATACATATACATATATATATATATACATATACATATTTATAAATATATATATATATATATATATAATACGTATATAATATATGTATGCATATTTACATTCTACTATTGTTACGTGTATATGTTATTCCTACTTATACTTTTGCTTACGCACGAAATTGTTGGTTAGTTAATTAGTTAGTTAGTTCGTTCGTTGGTTGGTTAGTTAGTTAGTTAGTTAGTTACTTAGTTAGTTAATTAGTTAGTTAGTTTGTTTCTTGTTTGTTAGCCAGCTAGCTAGTTAGTTAGTTATTCATCTAACTAGTGCTCTATTTGTTGATCCTTTATTTAGTTATCCATCTGCTTATGTATACATTCCATGTTCATAGGGCAAGACTTTGTCCACCAGCAGTATGTCAGCATGGAGACTTTCCACAATGACCATGCGGCCAACAGATCCAAAAACTCTTGCCACGAAACCCCAACCCTCAACCTAGAAACGACCAAAAGCCCAAAGGCCGGAACATTGAACCTTACAACAAGAAGCCCTCCACAATCAAACATGCAAATGCCCTTCCCCCCCCCCTTTCTCAAAAAAGGACGCTGAGCCCCCGACGACACCACAGAAGATCCAATCCAGCGGAGGGCTTCCCATGTCGCCGGCAGCCCCCGCCGGCACGATGGAGAAGGTCTGTCCTGGTTAAGGGCTTCAGTAGGCTTTGGTGGGGGGCCGGGTGCAGGTTCTACGGTTTCGTGTGGCTTGGGGCTTAAAATAAAGCTTTCGGCATTCAGGGTTTAGGATTTAGGACTTGGGATGGCTTGGGCGAAGGGGTGTGTAGGGTTTACTGTTTACGGAGGTTGACGGCTTAGGAATTCGGGTTGAGGGGCGTCCAAAATCACTGACATTCGAAGCTTCCAGGGTTCATACCCAACTGGAGAAACCTTCACGGCAACAAAAAATATGAAAAGCTGTATAGGGTTTAGGCTTATACAGGAATATGAAGCTATTTTCGGACCCTACCCGTCAAACACGTTGGAAAACAAGGCCACAGAACCCTGCCACGCCCGACAAAACCTGAAATATCTCAGGCCCATGATTTAGATTCCTGTACATCTACCCTTGTAGATGTCTACGTACATGTTCACATCCCGTTCCCTGAGAAAGACTCTACAAAACCCTAAAGCCCTAAGTCCTAACCGCTAAACCCTAACCCCTAACCCCTAAACCCCTAACCCCTAAACCCCTAAACCCTAAACCCCGAAACCCTAACCCCCTAAACCCCTAAACCCCTAACCCCGAAACCCCTAAACCCTAAACCCTAAACCCCGAAACCCTGAAAACACCCGAAACCCTAAACCCCACCTTTCTAGCCCCCGAGACCCTTCGGCCCGTCCTTGCTCCGAGCACTCCAGGGCCATGCCCCGCAGTCCCTGGAGGAAAAGAGGCCCGAAAGGAAGGATCACCAGCGTGGTGCAGACCTCAGAGAAAGGGGGTTTGGGTTTAGGGGTTTAGGGGGGCAGGGCTTTAGGGATTTAGGGCGTTAAGGCTTAGGGTCAAAAGGTAGGGTAGGGAAAGGAAGGATCACCAGCGTGGTGCAGACCTCGGATGGGGTGGGGTGGGTAGGTTTAGGGCTGCAGAGGGTTGAGAGGTGTAAAGGGCCCCGTGGAGGTCTACGAGAGCCCCACATTCCAAAGAGGTCCGGAGCTCAAAGGGAAAAGCCCCGTACTCAAAGCCTCTAAACTCTAAACCTTAAGCCCCTAAACCCCTGAACCCCGACAAAAATCCTACACCCCTGAACCCTTAGCCATCCCAAGACCCCCTTAAAGCGGCACCAAAAAAAAAACACCGCAGAACCCGCTTTCCGCCGAGCCGCGGTTCGGACGGGAGCCGGCAACTGGGCCATGAAGAGGCCCACAGAGCTGCCTGTTGGTTTAGGGCTTAGGGTTTATTAATAATGGTTTAGGGTTTAGGGTTTAGGGTTTAGGGTTTAAGGTTTAGGGTTTAGGGTTTAGGGTTTGGGGTTTAGGGTTTATTAATAATTAGAATAGGGCTTCTTTGAAGGGGTCTATAAGGGGTACTATACAGGATGTATAAGGGTACTATGATATGGTGGCCTTAATAATTTGAACAAGGTTTTGGGGCTCATTATACTATAATTAGAATCGGGAACCCCGAAATTGTATAGGTAATTATCTAGGCCCCTACTATAGTAGGGTACTGTTTCTGGAAAGTAATCTTTCAAGGAGCACCAAAAAGGAACCCTTTAAATGAACCCTTTAGGGTTTAAATTAGGGTTCAGGGCTTGGGGCATAGGGGTTCTTATTAATGGAAACCTTCGAGGAACCCGTTCAACAGAACCCTAAAATGAAGCCTTTGCTTGTTTTCTAGGGTTTAGGGTTTGATCGTAAGGGTCCCTAACACGAACAACATAAAAAGCTTAAAGACGTGCGGTTCAAAGTTCTTTCTTCTGACGGTTTTGTTTAAAGGACATGAAAAGAGTGGCAGCTCACGGACGGGTTCACAAACGAGGGATCCCTTAGTTCGGGATCCGTAGACAAAGGAGTCTACCGAGAGCTCGAACTCTACTTGGAGGATCACGAAGTTTCATAAGTTTGGTTGTAAGTAATTACTTTAACTGGGGTTATACGTCGTTACAAGAACAGCTACCCCAAAAATAACCCTTCAAGTATTTCATCATTCCATCAAGAACCTGTGCCTCCCTGTCTTTAACATGAAGCGTTTCGAGGCTTCGCCTCATGCTCCTAATGTAGGCGCCTTCATACTTAGACTGGGGTTTTGGGGCCCACTATACGCACAACCATCGTTTGGAACCCCCAAACTGGTATAAAAAAGTGCTTATTTAGGCCATTGGAGACTGCGATGTACATTCAAGAACCCTTAAACAAGGTTGCCCATGCAAACTGTATCCTGGGTTTAGGGCCTAGCCTTAAGCATCCTGCCCATCTTCACCAGCCAACCGGACGCCACACCCCTTAGTAAGTAGGTTATAAGTAGAGTTATACGTACCCTAAATGGAGTTACCCCAACTATAACCATACTTATAACCTACTTGCTAAGTCCTCTGCCCCTCCAAGTAACTTTTGAAACTGCCATATCTTCAAAGCAAGGCGCTTGCCAGCACGGCTTCCGCTGCACAGAGCACAAACCTCATCAGACAGACCCCCGCCTCACAAAGTCGTGCTGGGAGCTAACATCAAGAAAGTGGGAAAGCTTTGCGGAATACCTACTGCAAGGGCCTGGAGCAGTAGAACAGGATTTTGGAAATATACGTAATACCGTAGGAAAACTCATCTTGCCAATTCCTCCGACCCCTACATTATTTATTCAACCCTAAGCTCTCAATCTACTCATGACCCCCTTGAAGATATTGATTGATCCTTTGAGTAGCTCAAAAGATGACGCGCTGTGGAAAAAGGATTCGGATCAAACTACTTGGCAGGTGCATTATACCAGTATACTGTACTCTATCAAACTATGGTACATTTATATATTGCGCCAATTCCAGCTACCTAGTTTAGTAAGATATAACGACATCGAACGGCTGCAACATATCAAGCCGCCAACGAAACCGGTCGCTACTCACGGTCATGACTCTGCACACATGCCCTACCCATTGCCTCGATAGTCCGTTAACAAGCATCGCTCTTACGCAACGCAGGCGCGTCTCGTCGCAGCCAAAGCTCTGGATCAGGAAGAAGAGGAGTGGCAAGCCAGGCACGTATGAGCCGGCACTGCCCCAGTTCACAGCTAGCCACCTTGGAGCCCCTACTGTTGATGGACAAAATCTTGCATTACCCATTATAAGGAATATACCATAGTTCCCATAGTTTCGGGTCCTTAAGGTAATGCAGGGTTTATATCATCAACAGTATCATATACTCTCCCTACTTTCTCCTTTAAAAGCAAGGATCCTGGTATTTGGGTCGAAGGTGAAGTCCCTTCTACATTCTGAGAAGCGGGGATGTGCAGATCAGAGGCCTCAAAAGCTGGGATGAAGATAGGTGGGATACTCCCAAAATACGAGGCCTTAGACAAGGGATCCTTCATCCTACCCACCTTCATCCCATCTTCTGAAGCGTCCGAGCAGAGTATGCAGCAGACGATAGGAGGCAGAACTTGGCATCAGCACTCGACCCTGGAGCTTGCAGCTTCTACAAGGTCTTGGTGGGGCTCGCGGCTTAGAGTTCAGGGTTTGGGGTTCATGGTTTAGGGTTGAAGACTTCTTTCGAAGGATTTAGGGTTTAGGGCTCGGGGTTCATGATTTAAGGTTTGAGCTTTGGTGCACAACAAACCCGAAGACGAGAGCGCGATCCAACTGAGGCTTCGGCATGTACTCATGGAAGAGTCCAGACATCACCTGGGAGTTTCCGACAATCGGGGACCCTAATATAGTACCCCAAAAGTTCGGGCCTTCAGGACGTAGGGGCTTTGAGGACTCAAAAAGGGAGTTTCCGAAAATTCGGGGTACCTTGTTTTGGGCTCCTTATAGTAAGGATCCTACTATTTAGGGCCTAAATAGTAGGATCCTTATTGTAAGGACCCCCAAACTAAGGCTTTTAGAGATCCAGAAGTCCCCAGAGCATGGGTCGCCTTAAGACACAGCAGCCAGGAAACCGAACTCCTTTTCTGCATCTGCTGAGTAGGAGCTGCTCTAGAATCTATAGCAAGGGCTTGGCGGGTGTTTCAAAACTGCCACACCTGTGCATCTAGCTCTTGCGTCTTCTGAATAGTCACTTGTGGACAAATGAGCTGCAAGGAAACATCACTGGTTCAAGGTCTCGTGCCAGATCACTTGGATGTTTCTCACAGCTCAGGAGATTCAAACGGAGATTCAAACAGAGATTCAAACAGGCACAAGCATTTTCTGCCTCAACGTGGGAAATACATCAAGCCCAAACGGGGCATGCCAATGTTCATACCCCCTTTGCCCTGTCCCGCAACGGTGGTGCAAGCCTGGCCAGGTGTTGGTGGGCACTTCTGGATGCGGTTGTTCCTGTTGTCCGCGACGATGTATTCTCCCTCCGGTGTCTTGATTGCTTTCCATGGCTCGTTCAACTGCGTGTTCGAAGATCCTTGACCTCCGACAACTTGGGTGCAAGGACCCGAAGCATTGGGATCGCAGTCGAAAACGTGGTGCATGTCCGCCACGATGTAGTGGCCATCGCTAGCAATTGAGAGACCTCCGGGGAAGTAGAGGTCGTTTCGCACACCCTTTCCGATCAGCGTGGTGCCTAGGATGCCCAGTAACCTAGGAATAAAAAGGGCTCCCTTTTTGGTGTTGGGTAACTTTATAAGGAACCTAGGACTACAAAAAGGGAAAAAGGGCCCACTGGGAGGCCTAGGTGCACTCTGAGCCGACGACCGGGGTGCAATTCTTGACCTGCATGCCGTTGTGCTCAGTGATGAAGTAGTTGCCATCGGGTGCAAGACTTACCTTTGGTTTTTTAGGGAATGGAAGAATGGTAGTAATAGTAGTTATAATTCTACCCCATTCCTCCATTCCCTACTAATTAAAGTTTAAGAAGAGAAACGTCCGTGGGATTGTTCAGACCCTCGAGAATGGTCTCACAGCTGCCCCCTGACATCGGACATCGTTGGCAGCGGTGATTACCCCGTTCCACGACGACATAATGACCTGGGTTGTGCTTTAAACCCTTTGAAAATCATTTCTGAATAGGTTCCCTTGATAAGGAAATACGGAAAATGAAAATTATCCCAAAGGACAACCCAGTGACTCCCGTCAATGGCCACGGCCTTGGGCCAATTCAGGGTTGTGGGAGTTTGGGAGGCCACCCCACTCTCACCGACGACTACATTGCAACTTCCTCCTGGGCTGCACTTCTTGACGGTATGGTCCGGACCATCCACGACCACGAAGTCTCCATCTGCAGCCTGCGTGAAGCCCCAGGTGCCCTCGAACTGGTCAGTGGAAATCAGCTCTTCGCAAGACCCATCCGTGCCGTCGAAGGGTGCCCAGCATCGAATCAGCCTTCCGCCGTTGGTGTCGCTGAACACGATGTGTGGCGAGACTGTCGTGGTGCTGGTTGTGGTTGTAGTAGCCGCGGCAGTGGTGGTCGTCGTAGCCACCGTGGCAGCCGAAGTAGTTGTGGGCGGGGCGCAATCAAAATCCGCCTCCAAATGGAACTGCTTGGAGGATCATGGGACTTAGTAAGTATGGCTATTATTTGGGGTAACTATACTTATAAGGACCTATAACCCCAATTATAGGGACTTAAAACCCCAATTTCCGCCTCCAAATGGAACTGCGTCTCAGCGCTCAAGTCGGTCTTCTCCGGAAGAACCGGCTCGGCAACGTCGATGTCACTGGTGTTGTAGTCCTGGGGGCTTAATAATTAGAATAGGGCTTCTTTGAAGGGGTCTATAAGGGGTACTATAAAGGATGTATAAGGGTACCATGATATGGGGGCCTTTAGTGATTAGAATAGGGTTTTGGGGCCCATTATGCTATAAATATACACAGGAACCCCAGGATAGCATTGGTAATTATTTAGGCCCCTATAGTAGTCCTGCGTCTCGCAAACATTCAGCTTTGCTTCTTGTTCCTGAGTGGGCGAGCTGATGACGTCGACCAAACACGTCAACTTGAGGATGGCAGACAACGCAAGTCTGCGAGCTTCAGTGTTTGCTTGAACACCAATCAGCGTGGAGTTGTAGGACTGCGCCGATGCCTGCCAGCACCTTGCAGCCCGCTTTGACGGGGAAGGCTGCTTTGGGGATATGCGACATTCCCAGCCACGATGTGTTTAAAAGATTTCCAAAGTACAAAAACCCGAAACCCCAGGCACAAATTGTAGGAGGTCAGCATCAACTCCTTCTGCGCCAACCATGCGCAGTATGCCTTGAGGGACCCAAAAAGCACATAAGCATAAGCATTTGATGGGGATATCCCTACCGTATTGGGCTTCATTATAAGGGGATTTATATGGGATATCGCTATCCTGATTTGTGCTTATGTGCTTTTGGGGGGCCCTATGCCTCTTCCCAGAGTTGTTGCTGGGCAGTGCGGTTGGCCAGGAGGGTGTCACTCTCATTGGAGGCAGCTTCCAGGGCATCTGCATGCTGAAGGTAATCTGCGGCCCACTCCTGGGAATGTTGGGCCTAATGTAGGAACCTGATTAAGAAACCCTGGGCCTATGACCCCCAAAATAGTAGGATTCATACAAGGAACCCTAATACAGGCCCAAGGTTCTTAATGAGGTTCCTACATCAGGGTGTATTGGGCCAAGCAAGCAGAAATCCCATGAACATTTCGCAGCCCCGTAGAGCTCCACAACAGGAAACTATTCAACTCAGATTCCATCAGGCGCCGCACTTCAATCACCAGCTCCGCGGAATGACTTTGATTCGTCGCCACTGTCGGCTGCGGGGACTCGGCCATGAATGTTGACATTGCAAGCTCTTTCCTATACTGAGCTTAGAACCCTAGCAATAATTATAATTTTAGCTGTTTCTTAGGGATTATAATAACCAAAGATTAAAAATTATTTCTAAGTACCCCTAAGTTTCTCGGCCAGCACCACTGCAGTCGAGTTTGCCGCCAGGCTTGCCTTGGCAACAGGCTGCTTGCTATTACAGTAGAAGCCAGAAAGTTGGAATATCATTATCCTAACCCTTCTATGGTAAATTACAGGGTATCCTACCATGAATCCATATTCCAACTTTCTGGAGTTCCCTTTCTGTTCATAGTCGTAGTTGCCATGTGTCAACTACATGAATTACACTCCCATTTTTGAAAAAATATGCTAGCATATACTCATAAGCCACAGTGGGGACTTGATAAGGTTGTGCATAGCCCAACCCCGGACAGTCTCAAACCCCAGGACGTTCAACCCCGTCATCAGCGACGTGCAGTCCCTGCAGCCCTATAAGCACAAAACCCCCGGTAGCCCTAAACTCTAAATCCTCATGTAGGGGCCTTTTAAAATTGGAATAGGGTTTTGGGACCCATTACCCATTATACTATAACTACAACAAGGAACCCCCAAAATAGTATTGGCAATTGTTTAAGCCTATAGTATATGATCAGAAAGATCCCCGGCCTCCATGTAGGCATCGTAGGCCGCGACTGCCAGGCTCTTCTGCAACTGCAAAGTCGTATTCTGCGACGTCAGATTCAATCCGCAGTCCTGTCTAAGGTCCAAAGTACGGCTAATGCTATAAATCCTGCATTACCTTAAGGCCCCTAAACTATGGGAATTATGGTATACTACTTATTATGGGTAATGCAGGACTTATATCATCTACAGTATGGGTCCTTGGTATGGGCAGTTCTGAACATGATGGTCCCCTTTGGGCACGATCAAGTTGTTGAAGGGCCGCCTTAATAATAGTGACCCGGAAAGGGATCATCATTGCGAGAAGCTACCATATGGGCCCTTGTCCTATTCCGCGTGAATTTTTGGTGGAATATACAATCTGTTTTTGTGTTAAGGTAAGGGCCTTAATAGTTAGAATAGGGTCTGGGGCCCTATTATATTATACTGCGGTAGGACGAAAGTTTGACCTACTCCTTGTTTCGTCGAAGACAGGCCCCCATTCCCCCATAGAATCCTAACAAGCAGGACCAACCGTCTACTCCTCCGGAACATTAAAGTAGTATGATTTCAACACGGCGTAAAAAATACTGGCCAGACCACGTAAATCACACTTTTCGGTACCCCGCTACTCCGCGAGTCGCATGTTTTAGATACTCCGCTACTCCGCCAGACGTCTTAAGACAAGACAGATCCAGTAGGTCCAAACTTTTGACCTCCCGATGTAAGTATCATTAATGATTACAGCCCCCGGTCTGGGTGAGCGGTCCTCCATGGCTTGGGCAATATCATGAAGAGACTGCTGGTCGGCTGTCGCAGCGTCCTGTACCAGGGCGGCTAGGGCACAGCGAAAAAACTCGCCGCGAGAGCCGAAGAAACTTGTGAGCTCCTTCGGAGATCCGTGTAAGTGTGCCTTTGCCGCGTAAAGGCAGTGCCAACATGTCTGGCTTCGGGGGCTTACAGGGTTAAGGCGGGACGACCTGCCCTTCAGCGAAGAACGAAGCAGTCTCCTGAAGTTAAGCCCCCGGCAGAACACCCTCCCTCCAATCCCTTCCCAAGATAAACACTATGAAACAGCAAAAAGCCCTAAACCCTGATAAAGCACGCGGTGACTTTCTGCAGTTCCCACCTGCAGCTTTGCCACGGTTGTGTTTTCAAGCACCGCCTTCATATCGTCGAAGGCCTGACATGAAACTGAACCTTGACAAGCCCTATAACCCCAAATCCTTTGTTTTAACCCTTCCCAAGTGATTTCACCCTTTTTTGAAGCTGGACTTGCTGACTAAAACCTTAAGCCCTAAACCCTAAAAACGACAACACATCCTGTTTAACGGTGAGCGATGCAAGTGGCATGATAGCGCACAGCTACCCACGCCATGTCTTGGGGCTTATGTGGTGTATTGCTGCATGGCTGAGGAAGCAAGACAAAAGTCTTCATACTCCCCACCCTCATTCATAAAAATCCAGCAATCAGGCCCCAGCGCACTTAATACCATTCGGCACATCATGGAATACAAACTGCCAAGGCCCACGGGTCTCTGTGTGTTTCTCTGAGAGGGACACGCGGCATCTGCACACTTCCTCAGACGGAATCCCTGAACAAGAATGCAAGACATCTGGCCTGACGCTCCACTGACGTAAGGTTCCTTCCCTCGCGCACGGCCGTGGCCACCAAGCTTTGAAGAAGGTCGCTCATGTCGTCATGATCACCTGGTACTGGGATTGCGGCGATGTACAAGGAATGGATTCTAGTGCAGATATGGAGTTTACGCTAGAGGTTATAGCTACGAGAATCCTAAACCCTAAACCCTAAACCCTAAACCCTATTAAAGGTTAGAATCCTTTGAGGAGCCCGTACTTACCTGCAGTACTCTGAAGTTTAGGGTCAAGGCCTCGACATGATAGGGGTGCTGCCAGTACGGGTGAGCTTTTGAACAGGGTGGATACCCGCATTTGGGCCGCTTTGAGGCTCTTGGGTTGCATCTGTAAGGGTTTAGGGTTTTGGGTTTTGGGTTTTGGGGCTTAGGGTTTAGAGTTTAGGGTTTAGGTGGTACATGCCGACCTTCACCATGACTGCGATGCATTCCACGCAAGGGAAGGCCCGCTCGATCGTGCTCTTCGAGCTCTTCGTGCTCTGTGGCATACTTCGTCCTGCAGGTCTGAAAAAGAACGGTGGCCTCGGACACTCTTAGGAGACCGCGACCTTTTAGAGTGCACTTTAAGAATCAGGGAACAGCAGTATCGGAATATCGGACAAATTTTGATGACCAACCCATGTCCTCAACAAGCGAGTCCTTTGCACCAGGGCGAGGCCCTTGCCGGAGCCTCCCGCAGTGCAGCTCTCAGCCACCACATAGACCGGGCCACTGACAACTGCTGCCAGCAGCACCGGAACCAAGCACGATTGCGGCGCCATAGGGAAGCTCAAGACAGAGGATGAGGAAAGCTTCGGTCTTCGGTGACTTCCGTCAACTAATGGAATGCTGTATGAGCGGAAACGCAGGAAAACGCATACAAGAGCAGGGTGAACATGCATGAACAGGCATAAGCCCCCGGGCAGAGTGTGTGGAGGCAAGAGTGTCGATCTGCTACCTTGAACACCCCTGAACCCTAGAAACCCCTGAAACCCTAAATCCATGAGAGGCTAAACCCTAAAGCCCTTATAATACCCTGATAGTACTCTTAATATAGTCCCCTTTCCTTGCTGTCTCCATACTGTACTTACTCAAGTACCTACACCCTAAACCTCAAAAAGGCCGAGAATCTCATCCTAAACCCTAAACCCTAAACCCTGAATCTTTACAGATTCTTCGACCGAGTCACAAAGGCTAGGAGCCCTGCAGCACGCCTGGACCAAGCGGAGGAACCTAGGAAAAAAGTCGTTTCGGGGTTTAGGGTTTCCTGGAGATTCTTAATACGAAGTTACTTAGTCGGTGCGCAAGTTGCGGCAATGTAGGGGCCTGGACTGTACCAGACTGGGGCTTCCTAAAGATCACTTAAAGGGTTCCCTCAAGGGTTCCTTGTAAGGGATCCCACGCTAAAGGAGACGACAACCCTGTGGTATCTTTTTTGGGGGAACCCCTTTACACGGTCCCTAAGTCGGCAGAGGAGCCCCCACGATTTAGGGTAGCAGGGTCTGAGGTCTTAGGGCTGAGGGAGACTCGGGTTTGGATCCGTTAGGGCGTATTACTTGGAGGGGCAGGGGACTAAGTAAGTAGGTTATAAGTAGAGTTATAAGTAGAGTTATAAGTACCCTAAATGGAGTTACCCCAATTATAACCCTACTTATAACCTACTTACTAAGTCCCAAAAGCCCCTCCAAGTAAACGTCTATGTCAATGTAGATTTATGGTTTAGGGCTTTGGGTTTTGGAAGTTGCTATGAAGGCACGTTGTACGGGTGCCATACGGGAGTTGAAGGCTGAAAGGCTTCGCTGTAGGCTTTTACAAAGAAGGGTTCCTTGCGAGATTCCTCTTCGGGTTATGATCTTACGGCCCTAAATCCAAAACCATATACCCTAAAACCTCGACGACAGGACCTTGGGAGTTTTGGATCTTGCGTAATTTGATTTAAGGTTTTGGTTCAAGGCTTCGGGTTTCGCGCTTAGGGCTTATAAGCTTTAGGGTTTAGGTTGGTGATTACCGATTGCCCTTTGATGATTGCTTGTAGGGTTAATTTTCTCCTTCAAGGGTTCTACAACGGACTCAAGGCCTCGAGAGATTCGGATTCGGGGTTTGAGGGTTTGAAGGGTTGGCATCTCAGCAAGGGGTAGGGGGTTTCGGCTTGGCGTTTGGGGTCTACGGATTTAGATGGAGGACTCTGAAGGTAAAGGGTTTCGGGTTTGGGCTTTGGATTTCGGAGATTCGATTCCGGGTTGTCGTTGTTAATTCGAGGTTTTAAGAGCTTGGCTCTTGGCACGGTACAACAGCCACTCAGCCCCCGAAGATGACACAATGGTGGAATGCACATGGTAGAAGTCCCAGGTTTGACATCTGAACAGTTTCAGACAATCAGAAGGAAGCCTACTAAAGCCCCTGCTCTGAGCCTCCACCCAAAGCAGCCATGAAAGGAGCCCCGATGTGCCGTTCCGACAACGGACAACCTGACAACTCCCCAGTGTACACGTTCGCACCCGAACCCTGGACCCTCAACTCTGTGGAACCTACTCGGAGGGGCAGGGGACTTAGTAAGTACGGTTATAAGTAGAGTATTATAAGTACCCTGAATGGAGTTACCCCAGTGATCACCCTACTTAAAACCTACTTACGAAGTCCCAAAAGCCCCTCCAAGTAGAAACCCTGCATCCCAAACCTTCAACCCTGAACCGAAGGCGCGTACCCCAAATCCGAAACTCTCGAGCTCCTCCTCCAAATCCCCAACCCGAACCCTGACCGTATAGTGCACAATATTCTACTAGACTCTACCAAAATATGGGAGTTTCCGATAATTTGGGGTGCCATATTTTGGGGTCCTTATAATAAGGATCCAACCATTTAAAGTACTTTATTCAGGGTCCCCCATTGTCGGAAACCTCCATGTGCTATACTAAATCATATTGTACTACACTATACTACACTACACGACAGGCACCGGCAAGTGGAAGGAAGAATGTGCGCTTCATCAGCCGGTGGACCACCTCACTGCTCGCGAGCGGGTTTAAGGTTTAGGGTCTAGGGCTTCTGGTTTAGGTTTTAAGGTTAGTTTAGGGTTTAGGGGTTCGGGTTTAGGACCCATGGAGCACCTAATTCTGGGGTTCTGCTCGCTGGAAGCGCTATGAGGCGGTGGGCGGCCTAGACCTTCAGTTTAGGGTTTTAGAAGTTGTTAAGGGTTTGCTGCCAATAACGTTACCGAAACGTCTGACCGAACAAAGTTTTGACCGAAACGCTTTGAACCGGTTGTCCTCTAAGTTTTGAAAATGGTGGGCCGGGGGATGGGGCTGGGAGCTGGGCTGAGCTCGGCTGGGCTGGGACGGGGCTGTGCTTGGCTGGGGCTGGGCTGGGACGGTCTAGGGGGTTCAACCTAGACAATGACAAGCAATTTACATCTATTCATTTATTGAGGGTTTAGGGTTCAGGTTTCTTGACTAATTATCACTAGCATGAGTTCTGGAACGTGCCGTTGAAATGTCGAAAATTGCAATCTCCAGGAACAACATCACTGGAAGCCCCGTTGTGGCTGCAGCTGTTGGCCCGTCCGTGCTTCGAAGGAATCTTCCCTGCTGATCAATCCATTCGGGACTCTCTGAACAAGACCGTATCGTATGCTGGCACATGCACATGAACATGTGCAAGTTCATGCCCTGCCACTTTCCGAACCACCAACCCCAATCCTTCAGTCCAGATCCAAGGAACTCAACCAGCCCTACTCCCTAAACCCGGCAGCCAAATTTGAACCCCAAGGCTGAAGTAGCTAAACCCCTTTTGTAAACACTACCCCTAAACCCTAAACAAGACCCCAAACCCTCTTCTATAGCAACCCGTCTGGCATCCCGGGGAACTCTTAGGGCTCCTTGAAGGGATCCTTTCAGGGCTCCTTTAAGGGTTCCTTTCAAGAGTTGGGTTCGGGAGACAGGCGCCGACGCGCCGCCGAAAAAAAGCAAACCCTAAACCCCTAAACCCCAAACCCTAAACCCCAGAAAACCCCTAAAACCCTAAAACCCCAGAAAACCCCTAAGACCCTAACATCAGAAAACCCAAAACCCTAAACCCCAGAAAAACCCCCGAAACCAAACTCACAGCGACGAGACGCGAGGTTCCATCTTCGGCCCCAGAACTCGCGAAGAGACACCTCAGCTTGTTTAGGGCTTCTAGGGCTTAGGGGTTAGGGGTTAGGGCTTAAGGCTTAGGGTTTAGGGAATTTTTTTGTTGAACGCCTTTTCCGTCTGCCTGATTAGGGGTCTGGGCTTAGGGCTTCTAGGGCTTAGGGGTTTAGGGTTTTGGGTTCAAGGCTTAGGGCTTAGGGTTTCTAGGGCTTAGGCTTAGGGGTTAGGGTTTTGGGTTTTGGGTTCAAGGCTTAGAGCTTAGGGTTTAGGGTTCAGGGCTTTTTGACGATACTGACAGGGATGGCACCCGAAACCCTAACCCGAAACCCTAAACCGGCGAGGTGGGAGCGGCCCCTGCATTAAGGGACCCAAAAAGCACATAAGCATAAGCGTTCTATGGGGATGTCCCTAGCTTATTGGGCTTCATTACAAGGGGGTACGGGATATCCCCATCGTCAGTTTTGCTTCTGTGTTCTTTGGGGGCCCTATGCATGGTGCCCTAAACCCTAAACCCGAAACCCTAGACCCTAAACCCGAAATCCTAAACCCCAAACCCTAAACCCTAAACCCTAATCCGCCGCGGGCACCGAGAGGAGCAGCGGCGTCTGCATGGAATCCACAGTGTCGATGCCTTAATTTGGGGTTTAGGGCTTAGGGTTTAGAGTTTTGGGTTTAGGGTTTAGGGTTTGGGTGTGAGAGCACAAAGCATGATTGACCCAGTGGCTACCCTTCCAAAGTCTCCTGAGCTCCGGATTCCTTAACGCCGTGGCTTCACTAGATTTTGCCCATTGAAGACGTGTTATGAAACATGTTGTGGTGCATTATAGTATGTTCCATATATTGTCGTATATTGTAGTAAATTACAACATATTCTAATATATTCTAGTACATTACTATTATGGTATATTAGAGTTTGTCCTAGTATATTCTAATATATTCTAGTATATTCTAGTATATTAAAATGGCATTTGAGGGCTTCAGGTTCAGAGGCTAATGGGGGTAGTCTTTGCTACTTGGCGGCTTGAGGGGCTATCTGAAGATGGCCCGCCCAAGAAAATGGTGACTCTGTGGCAGTTCACAACTAGGGTTTGGGTGGGTTTAGGATTTCATGGTTTAGGGCGTTTAGGATTTAAGGTTTTGGGTTTAGAAACGGTTTTAGGGTCTGGATGAGAGCACAAAACAGGATAGGCCAGTGGATACCCTCCCAAGGTGTCCTGAGTGCCGGACCAAAGAAGGCTAGCAAGAGACGGTGCATCAGCATTGCTGTGGCCAAGGTACCTTCGCTCTCTGCAGTCAGTGCCGGGCAGTTGTGAGCTTTACTGCACTGGTTCCGGATCAAAGATATGGAGCATAGGTCTAGGAATTTAAGATTTATGGGTTTAGGGTTTAAGGTTTGGGGCTTAGGGTTTACAGTTTACAGTTCATGGTTTTGCATTTAAAATTTCGGCTGCATGCGTTGAGGATCTTCGGGCGCCACCAAAACTCCAGGCATCCCGTCGTGCAGCTACGTGCAGCTGAGCGGCAGTAGATGTACCTCAGCTTCTTTGAAAGCCACGCAGGGTTGACTTAAAGGATCATGGGACTTCGCAACTAGAGTTATAACTAAGGTAACTATACTTGTAATTGCTTATAACCTCTATGAAGGTACTTATAACCATACTTACTACGTCCCATGATCCTCCAAGTTTAGAGTGAACCAACGCTCCGCGGATCGGCCATAAATTTAGTCAAACCCTGGTGCCTCCATGAAAGGCAGACCCAGAGAGCCCAATACCCCTTAATTAGGGAATATGGCTTAAACTATATAGGCCTTCATAATATGATTTACTATATATTCATAATTAAGGGGTATTGGGCTCTCTGGGGAGCTACAGAATCCGGAAGCACCAAAACGTCCCACCAGCAAACCCTGTTTAAACGGGGGTTTCGGGCTTAGGGTTTATCCTTGAAGACCCAGAGAGCCCAATACCCTTTCACTGCATTATAAGGGGCTTCATATTATGATTTAAGCTATATGGGCAGTTGTCAAAATTATGGTCCCTTTTTGGGTACCCTTACATAATAGGTGCCGTATTGTAACAGGAACCCAAAAAGAGACCCTGGCTTTGACGACCACCCATATTATGAGTTAAGCTATATTCCTTAATCAAGCGGATTAGGGGCTCGCTGACGACCCCGAAGCCCCGTTGGACCGTTTGCCGCGGCCTGGAACGCCCTCCCAAACTCACAATCCGATATAACATACTACTACGGTTTAGGGTGTAGGGTTTATTACAATATAAAATGAGATCATACAACATAGTGTCATGTACTCGAAATATACGGACAAAATATACTAAAGGTATGTGTAACTTATATACTAAGTATCTAATCACAATAACAATGAAAAGAAGAGTACTAGCAATATTAATGATAATAATGATAAGAGCAGTAACAAGAAGAAGAGCAACGAAGAATACTAATACTAATAATAGTAACAATCAAGGACCCCTGAACCACCAAGGCCAAAATGCAGGGTCTGCAGGTAGACTGCAGGCTCTGCTTCGGGGAAGCCCAGCAGGGGCATCCTTAGCGTTGATAGCACACTCTTGCGGCACCTGAAACAAAACTATCGGGATTGACATAGGGGCCTTAATAATGATGAGTTTATGATACTACAATTATAATTATCAGCCCCCAAAAATAATACTCTCGCAGCACCTGAAACAAAACTATCCGGACTGTGGTATAGCTATGCGCATTGCTCAGACTTCTGGTTGGGAACTATGGCTTACAGGTATGACTGTAGAACTGTGGGAATTATTGCTTAGGGGGAGTACTTGCATAACTCCGGAAACGATGCTGTAGCTGCGGAGTTTGATTTTCCAACTACCCAGAGAGCCCAATGCCCCTTAATTAAGGAATAGGGCTTGATTTACATAGGGCTTCATGGTATGATTTAGGCTGTATTCCTTAATTAAAGCGGATTAGGGGCTCTCTGGGTATGGGAATTGAGGTACATTCCCTGCTACGGGTAAGTCTGGTCCTGGCAAGCTTCTGGGGTTCCTCTAGGTCTGCTTCAAATCTTAGGGTTTAGGGTTTAGGGTTTAGAGTTGGGGGCTGTGTGTTTTTTGGGACTTCGGTTTACGAGGCTCAGGATTTGGAGGGGTTGCCGGAAAGTTTTCCAGGTGAAGTTTGGGGTTGGAAGTCCAAGAGCTTAGGGCTTTTGGGGTTTGTTCCAGGGCTTCGGGCCTATGTGCGTTTGTGTGTCGCTTGGGATTAACTCTGTGGGGCGGGCTGGGATTTGCGGTTCTGTTTTTTGCTAAGTAGCAAAGCCTCACTTGGTTCACCTGCAACCTCAAGTGAAGCCTACTTTCTGCGTCCCAGGAGGCTGGTTTTGCGGGCTTCGTGGTGGCTTCTGCCGACTTTGGCATCTAGCAGGTATCTGCCGGGACTGACGGCTCGGGCATAACCCCACCGAGACCCTGCAAAAGCCACGGAAACAGAGGACAGTTTTGGAAAGGACCCGTCACTGCGCTTGGGTTGTCAAGCTTCGTCGCTGGATCACTCCCGGACTCCAGGAAAGGCGCGAAGGTGGTTGCCTTTCCGATGCTGAGCACCTGGGTCGTTGCTGCGCTGAGCTACTTTCAAGTGGGGCGACTGGATGCAGTGTTACAGCTGGGCCTTGCCATCCTGCAGAGTAGCACCCTCCAAACTATGCCATGGTGGTGCCGATGCTGATCAGCCACATAATCTGTGTAAACTGTCCCAGCTCGCTTCACACTCTGTTCTCAGAAACAAACTATGTGCGAATCACATCTGTGGCTGCATGAGTTGCATGCATCTTAGTATCAGTCGTCGTTTTGCTGCCTGTTCTTCGGACTACAACTGTTTGATTGTCTAACACTAGCATGGAGATGCATACTTGTTCTGGTGCCATGGATACAGTCGGTGCAGTGACCAAGCTTTGCATTTGTCAGCCATAAAGCTCAAACGTCATTACCCGCTGAGTGTTCCTTAGCATACCTTACAATTCGTTCTTTCACAGTTGCCGCTGTTTAAAGTAAAATGACAGACTCTACACGGCAGCGTAACTGTATAACTGCGCGAGTGAATGGCAATCATACCCTCGTCGGCAATATTCCGAACCTGAAGATTGAAGATTGCGGTGGTGGTAATACTGAACATGGCAACGTTTGGGGAAGTGATAGTGATATTCAGCGTCATCTTCAAATAAATAGCCCCATTAATTATGACCACGCAGCTGACAATGGCAGCATTTGCGAAGATGGCACGGATTACGATGATGAAGATGTAATTATGATGATAATGATGACGATGAGGGGAGGAGGAGTAGGATGTTTACTATCCTGATGACCAAGAAAGTTAACTTCGTAACCTCAATTAACTCGTCTGGACTTTGGAACATCTCGGAAACCGAAGCCATACTACATTATACTATACTGTACAACAACATAGCATCAGATTATCGTAGAGCCATCGAGGTACGAAGTCATTAGATGTATGATCTGCATGGTGTTAAACCAGTCGAGACTGCAGAAGTTTGGTAGTTGTGTGGTGTACTTGTTGGTCATTATCTGCCAATACTGGTTTTTGCCGTAGTTGCTGCCGCTGCTTGTTGCTGACATTGCTGGTGGTCGAGCTGCTGTTTACCACTGCCATTCTCACTAACCTTCAGCTAGCACGAAATGGACACGGCGCAATGGTACCCAGAAGCATATGCTTCGCGATGCGGAACAGGAGCTCCTCAGCAAAACGTCAATCTGCATGACTCCGAATGCGGTTGACATGGCAATTCAACACAAACCCGCCTACATCTTAATGAGTTTCGCAAAACACGCCAAAACTCTCATGGCATCAACGGAAAACAAAGCAATCCACCAAAGCTGCCAATGTCGCCAAGCTGCCGAAATCAGCCCGTCCGGCGAAGCCTTCAATCGTCCTGCGCCGTCAAAAAGCACTTCCGCCGGCGAGGCAAAGTAGATTACCTCGGTAAGCTTTGTACTGAGCCGTGACAACAGCGGTGGTTGTAGTGGAAGTCGTCGTGGCCGCAGTGGCTGAGTTTCCGAACTACCTGTGCTGCTACTACTACTACTACGACCACCACCACTGCCACCACCACCACCCTCCTCCTGGTGCTGCTTCTAACCCCAGCCCTACAAAAGCCCGTTTTAGACACAAAGCTCTTGAACCCATAGAACCCTTGTCACAAACGCCCCTGTTCTCCACCTTACCATGATTACATTGCGAAGCACTACGATGGAAGTTTGTTACAGAGCTCTTATAGAAAAGAAAAGACCTCAACGGGATCTCGGAACCCTCAAAGACACCAAACCCAGCTTGAGTCCATCGCAACCTTCTTACGGCACCCTTACACAGAACTCTTAGACAGTTCCTTATAGCCTAAACCCTAAACCCAAAGCTCAAAACCCTAACCCCAAGCCCGAAGCCGAAGGGCCCCCTAAGCCCTCTCTAACCCCCAAACCCCAAATCTTAAACCCTGATCCCAAAACTCTAAAACCCTGACCCATAAACCCTAAACCCTACATCGTGCCCTTAGATCCCTTGAAGGAGGGTTCCTTTACGGGTTCCCTTATTCCTTTAAGGATTCCTTAACCCTAAACCCTAAACCCAAAATCCTAAACCCTAAACCCTGCCTGTGGCCCAAAAAACCTACCCATTTAGGTAACTTTTGAAGAAACTATAATAAGGAACCCTGAAAAAGGTAGGTCTTTTCGGCTACAGGTAAACCCTAAGCCTTAAACCCTAAACCCTTAAACCTAAACCCTCAACCACTAAACCCCAAACCCTAAACCCCAAACCCTAAACCCCAAACCCTAAACCCTAAACCCTAAACCCCAAAACCATAAACCCCAAACCCTAAGCCCCAAACCCTAAGCCCCAAACCCCAAGCCCTAAACCCTTAAAGCCCCCCGAGCCGGAGGGCGAAGTTCTTGAGGCTCAGGTCGAAGCCCTTTGGGCCCGTGCCCAGGAGGAGCTCCAGCCAACGGAAGCCTCCGAGGCGCGGGCGGCTTTAGGTTTTTAGGGTTTAAGGTTTAGGGCTTGGGGTTTTAAGGTTTAGGGCTTAGGGTTTAAGGCTTAGTGCTTAGGGTTTTGAGGTTTAGGGCTTAGGGTTTTTAAGGTTAGTGCTTAGGGTTTTAAAGTTTAGTGCTTAGGGTTTTAAGGTTGAGGGCTTAGGGTTTTAAGGTTGAGGGCTTAGGGTTTTAGGGTTTAGTGCTTAGGGTTTTAAGGTTTAGGGCTTAGGGTTTTAAGGTTGAGGGCTTAGGGTTTTAAGGTTGAGGGCTTAGGGTTTTAAGGTTTAGGGCTTAGGGTTTTAAGGTTGAGGGCTTAGGGTTTTAAGGTTGGGGGCTTAGGGTTTTAAGGCTTAGGGCTTAGGGTTTTAAGGTTGGGGGCTTAGGGTTTTAAGGCTTAGGGCTTAGGGTTTTAAGGTTGAGGGCTTGGGGGTAGCGCTTAGGGTTTAAGGTTTAGGGCTTGGAGTTTCTAGAGTTTTTGGTCCAGGGCTTAGGGTTTTGGAGATTTGGGTTCAGGGTTGAAGGCTTTAGAGTTTTGGCTTCAGGCTTTAAGGTTTAGGTGAGGCTTTAGTATGCTTTTATAGTAGTAACAACAACAATAACAACAAAGATTGCAATAATACTAATATCAATACTATCACATATAAGAACAAGAATAAGAATATTAATGATTGTAATCACAACAATGCTAATGATAGGTCCTTTTCTTGGGGTTCAGGGTCTAGCGTTGTTTGCTGGTTTGGGGTTTTCGGGTTTGGGGGTCTAGGGTTGGGGCTTTGAGGTTCGGGCTTCAGGAAGGCTTCAATTGCTTTCCTCTTTTTTGGCTTCAGTTCCCATCGCCCTCCCTCAGTCGGGCTCTGTCTTTAGGGCTATGTAAGGTTTTAGGTTCAGGGTTTAGGATTTGGGTTTGGGGTTTGGGTTAGTGCTGGGGATTTGCCTAAACCCTAAACCTTTATCTCCAAGCACAGGCTTCACAATGTCTTTAGAAGGAAACAGTGCAAGAAGCATTTAAACGATATAGGGTTCATGTACTGTAAGGGTTCCTTTAAGCGGTTCCTTTAAGGCTTCCTTTTAAGGGTCCCGTTTCGGGATTTTGACAAGATGGGTTTGGAAAGGGATCCAGCAAGACATTGACATTGAACACGAGATGGTGTGGTGTTAGATTTTGGGCCTGGGGTTCGGGACCCCGTGAGGCGTGCGGTTGTAGGATTCTAGGAGGGGCAGGGGACTTAGTAAGTAGGGCTACAAGTCGGGTTATAATTGCGAACTCCATTTAGGGTACTTATAACTCTACTTATAACCCTACTTACTAAGTCCCTTGCCCTTCCAAGTAGGATGTGGGGGTTATGGGAGATCCCACCGAGGCCCTGAACCCTTGGAGCCCCCAAGCCTGAAACCCGAAGCCCTCTAAACCCTAAGCCGTAAACCCTGAAACCCTAAACCCATGAATACCTCCAAGCCCCACCCAAAGCCATAAACCCGAAACCCTCTGAAACCCAAAAGCTCTGAGCCCTTCACCCTATAAAACCTAGACTTAGAAGCCCTACAAGAACCCAAATTCAGCCTGCGACGACACCAAAGAAGGAGAGGGTGAAGTGTGCCATTCGTGATCTTCGGGGCCCGAGCCACGAGAGCACGAGGAACCTCACGCGTTTAGGGTTTAGGGGTTAATTTTCAACCCATCCGTAACACCAACAAAGCACAGGGGTAGTATTCCGACCCCGAACTGTCTACTTGACGGATCATGGGACGTGGTAACTAGGGTTATTACTAAGGTAACTATACTTATAGGTACTTATGACCCCAATTAAGGTACTTATAACCATACTTACTAAGTCCCATGATCCTCCAAGTAGGGTTCAGGGACGTCTAGGGTTCAAAGCTGGCTGCGCTGGAGCCTGCGGCAAAGCGGGATAACATGCACACACTTGCGCAAAATGCAGGTTTACGGTGTGCGTGCACATGAAGTACGTATTTATCACTAGCTTCCTCGTAGCATCGCAGATATACAAAACCTGACTAGAACTCTAAATCGATGAAATCTCTTGTGGATGCATGTATGAAAGTCCAGACTCAGGAAGGCTCTCCAGCAACTAGACCCGACGGCTGTGATACCTTAGGCCCTTAACCCCAATACCCTCAACTCCTAAGGAATAGAATCCCTGCCCTCTTAAACCCATAAACCATCTTCGAAACCCGCTAGAGATCCCGTCACGAGCTGCAAAACCCGAAACGCTCAACCCTGAACCTTGAGGGCCCTGCCCCACGGCTCGATAGTAGTTCCTTTTTGGGGCTCATATTTAGAATCCTATGAGGTTATCCCAAAAAAAACAACTAGTATGGAACCTCTGGGTATGCCCTCAACCCTGAACCGAAAGCCGACAGGTTACGCACTGTAGGGAGCTCCTGTCCCGATGCGGAACAAGCTTTTTGAATAAAGGCTCAACCCTAAACCCTAAGGTCTTCCCCTCAAAAGAACCCGTTAAGGGCTCCTCTCAAGATGCTGAGGTACTGTTCAGAGGGCTTTGTTCGGGGTTTGGCCTTTTGCCGAGATCTTAATTCCCAAAACCGAAGCCCTAAAGCCGAATCCCAAAAACTGAAATCCTCGACCCGAAATCCCAAAGCCTAACCTCCTCGTAGAAGCCTTGGGAACCCTGGTACCGAACGCTACAGTGCCCTTAAGGACTCCTTTGCGGGTTCCTCTACAGGCCGTCTTCTGCAGCTCCCTTACCAAACCTTGCTAGAAGTTTTTGTGCTTTTTGTTGTGTATTTCTTGTTTTTGTTTATGTTTTTAAATGTGCTCTTTTCCGACTGCAGGTCCAGCAAGAACTCCTTTAGCAGGCCTCAGAAACACCCGTTACGACCTTCTGTAACCCTATCGAAGTCCACTACTACAATGCGCCAGGGAGCGGAGTCACCCAGAGGGCAACGCCGAGAAACCCCAGGATGCAAAGTCGCCTTGGTTGGGGGAGGGGGGGGTTCGGGGAATTGTAAGGCTTTAGGGTTTAGGGTGTGGGGTTTAGGTTTAGGGTTTAAGGTTCTATGGTTTCGGGATAGCAAGACTTTAGGGCTCAGGGCTGAGTGCTCTGGTGTTTTGAGGGCGTTGTAAGGTTTTAAGGGTTCTATGGTCTTGGGCATTTGGGGTCAGCGAATGTGGACCGTAAGACTTTAGGTCTGAGGGCGCTGGTGTCGGGGGGTGAGGGGGTGTAGAATTAAGTTTATAGGGCATGAAGGCTTTAGGGTTTCAGGGTTCGGTTAAGGGTAGGGTTTTGGTACCAGGGGTTTCGGGTGTAGAGAAGTATAGGGCTCTAGGGTGATGCGGTTAAGGGTTTTGCCGGTAGTAAGGCTTTAACTGGTTTTCAAAATCATGGGGAAAGCCCTAGAATATAATATAGTACGATGCGCCATAGTACTACTTATTCAATCTCTAAAATGCCATGAGGGATCTGTGGGGGCACGTGCAGTAGACACAAGCCATGGGGTTCACACAGATACCCCTGGGCAATACATGTCACATGCATGTCTGGGAGTGCATGGCGCGGACGTGGGGTTCCGTCATGAGACTCATTGGGACCCACATGTGTCTTCCATGCAGTTCTTTCTCATCTGCCAGATTTGGGGCCGGGCAAGCATGGCTTTCTCCGCAGCACTGCATGGATCCTCGGCACGCGGCAATCTGTCGCAGAAAGCATCATAGGGCTTTGGGGTATACTATCTTACAATTATGATCAAGAGTCCCAACCAGGGTTTCGGGTTATGTTATACCATAATTCTAGCAAGGAACCCCCAAAAGAGCATTGCTACATCTGTCACCAAGTCGCTTGAATCCGACTGCGCCTATCGCCACTAGCACCGCCAGCCCCAAAAAAGAGATGGTCTTGATTTCGCCTCACTTGAAGGATCATGGGACTTAGTAGCTGGGGTTGTTAAGGTAACTATACTTATAATTGCTTCTAACCCTAGTTAAGGTACTTATAACCATACTTACTAAGTCCCATGATCCTCTAAGCAGAACAGATCCGAGCACTCACAGCAGAAGGACGCCCGAGGCTGTGGGGCGCCGGCTGCCGCTCATAGCTTTTAAGGGTTCCTCGAAGGGTTCCTTAAAGGGCTCTGCAAAGGTTCTATGAAGGAACGAAGGAACATGCCGTAAACCATATTAGGGATCATACGACAATTTGGTGCTCGACATAACCGGCAACACGACACCCGCACATGAACTCGAATGATTCGGATGTGAAGCCCACTGACACCGCTTCCGTGTGCGACGTTTGAAGTGTCCGGTCCGATCCAGGCTGCTGAAGAAAGGGTTGTCGTCAGGGTTTTGTAACACATCCTCACTCCTCTGCACAACCAAGTTTCTTCACGATCTTCGTAGCTGCTGAACACAGCTGGACCGCCGTCGAAGGGCAACGATGTGCAACGATTTTTGTATGCAACTACAAAAAAACACAACGCCCACAGTCTGTGTCAATGAAAAGACTTCGGCCACGGCACTGTCGGCGGCAAGATCCTCAATCTCACGCATTCACACTCCTATACGTATACTATGCAACAGGACGCGAGGCTGAACAAGAGCAACCGCATTCCGGAATGAAATAGAGAATGTTCACGGTCACTGGCTGCAGTCGGCGTGGCAGGCACATACCAATACCCATTATTGAGTTGTCCTAAAAATAGAGAATCTTCTGTGGGCTCTTAGACCGGGGATGCGTCTATTTCGGATGTACATCAGTTACCATCCATCTTTCCGGAAGTTCCCTGACATGTGAGTGTTGGTCAGATGCGTGTTCACGTCGACACAACATCCTTAATTATGGAATGTACCTTAAGTTTTTTCTCAGGATCCCTAATATGACTTAAAGTATATTCCTTAATTAAGGGATACCCTAAACCTAAACCCTAAACCGATACTGTCGTAAAGCTTGGATCTTCGGCTCGTGAATTCCTTGTGGGTCGCACACGTCAGAACACATGTAAAAAGCCCTGTGCGCTTCTCAAGTTGCTGTCGGGGCCTGAAAAATAGAGTAGGGTTTTGAGGTAGATCATACTAGAACTATAACCAGGAACCCTACAATAGTATTCGTAATAAATATTTTAAGCCCGGTACTACCCCAATCCCCAATTGCATGCCGAGGTCGGGCTTGGAGAACTGCAACTGGAGGCCCAACATGGCACCATCCACGCGGTGAGGCGGGCCAATGTTTTCTGTGTTCTTCTTTGTTGAACGCTAACAATTCAGGATATTTAGTGTCGTTTTTGCTGACATCGTTACTTGCCCTTGATTGGCTTCGCGAGGTCCAGCATGTTGTGAAAGACTTGGCCCGCTTGCCATCCATGACATCTGCAACGCTGCACTTGCTATTCTGTAACTCCATTCCTGCATGAGACCGTTCGTGGAGCAACGGATTTACGCTAGAAGCAACCGATAAAACGCGCGTCGAAACAGACCTGCATGGCGATATCAGCTGTAAGCCACGGCAAGCTTATAGTAGCAACATATAAGCAGCTATATAGTATACGGCCACAACTACGGTTGCATCCCGTAAGAACTGCAAAAACTTATTTGCCGGGTAGTTGTAACCGGGACGGCAACGACCCAAGAACCTTCCGTCATTGCCGTCCGTCTTCGGGGAGTTTAGCCGCGGGGCTTTCAGTGGTGTTTTGGGTTTTGCTTGCAAAGTTGAGAATTCGCAATTGGTTCTTCACGCTGGGGCTTGAATTCAGGGGGCTCGGGTAAGGTTACTGGCTGTGAGGAAAAGTGAAATTAGGAGTAATAGGAACTGGAAGTGGAAGTGGTAGCAATAGCAGTATCAGCAGCAGCCGCAGCAGCAGCAGCAGTAGCAGTAGCAGCAGCAGCAGCAGCAGTAGCGATAGCAGTAGCAAAAAGTCTTGGATGTCGAGGTTTCTAGGCTCCCTAACACGCCCTTTTTCGACAGTCGACCGCACGAAGCGGATCCAGATCCTTCATTCGGCTTACAGCCAACTTACATGGAGGTTCATGGGCAGCAATATCTAAGGCTTCTAAGTAGGATAACTATACGTAGTTAAAACCTATCCCGCTAGACTACTGCTAGGACACGTAATTGAGGACTTAAGACCACTTATACAATTACCGATAACTACTCCAACTAAGGCTGCTTGGTTTCCCAAACATTCCAAAAACAACCACTAGGCTTCGGAACTACGTCTGGGCCGACCCAATCCGACCAAGAAACACTTTCCCAAACTGAACATGTCAGGGGGCGCTGGCTGGTCAGAACCATATTGCTCTCGCTGGCCCATCTTTTCCAGACGACATAACTCTCGCATGTCCGGCCAAGTTGTTGCAGAAGGCACGACCACCTGGCGCAGGACTTGCTGTAGATGAAGGCAGGACGTTCCGCTTAGGGTTGAAAGTTTTACTTCTTGATATCTTCCCCACATCACTTTAGACCCAACATCCATAAAGCATCATAAACCCGCAGCCTCAGCCTGTTCCGAATGTCTATGCGCTGTAGCTTCACTTGAATTTCGCCACTGCTGACGAGGCGGCAAGTGCTAGTGTTGATATTTAGACCTCCGGAAACGAGATTTGCTTGGCTGTAACAGCAGCAGTTGCAGTAGCAGTAGCAGTAGCAGTAGCAGTAGCAGTAGCAGTAGCAGTAGCAGTAGCAGTAGCAGTAGCAGCAGCAGCAGCAGTAGCAGCAGCAGTAGCAGTAGCAGTAGCAGTAGCAGTAGCAGTAGCAGTAGCAGTAGCAGTAGCAGTAGCAGTAGCAGTAGCAGTAGCAGTAGCAGTAGCAGTAGCAGTAGCAGTAGCAGTAGCAGTAGCAGTAGCAGTAGCAGTAGCAGTAGCAGTAGCAGTAGCAGTAGCAGTAGCAGTAGCAGTAGCAGTAGCAGTAGCAGTAGCAGTAGTAGTAGTAGTAGTATCGTCGTAGTCGTAGTAGTAGTAGTCGTAGTCGTAGTCGTAGTAGTAGTAGTAGTCGTAGTAGTAGTAGTAGTAGTAGTAGTAGTAGTAGTAGTAGTAGTAGTACAAGTACAAGTAGTACAAGTAGTACAGATAGTACAAGTAGTACAAGTAGTACAAGTAGTACAGGTAGTACAAGTAGTACAAGTAGTACAAGTAGTAGTAGTAGTAGTAGTAGTAGTAGTAGTAGTAGTAGTAGTAGTAGTAGTAATAGTAGTATATAATTGTAGTAGTAGTAGTAGTAGTAGTAGTAGTTGTTGTAGTAGTAGTAGTAATAGTAGTATATAATAGTAGTAGTAGTAGTAGTAGTAGCAGTAGTAGTAGTGGTTGTTGTTGTTGTAGCAGAAGCAGACGCAGAATCTGAAGTAGGTTTAGAAGTAGAACTGGAAGTAGAAGTAGAGGTAGAAGCCGGCGGGGGGGTTTTTTTTTTCGGAGGTGCGGCCAACCCTCTTTTTTCGGAGGTGCGGCCAAGGATTTGTTCAGGTTGGACACGCAGGATCCCTGTAGAGGGTTCATCGGCGACGTAAAGAATTTGCGCCGCACCACAGCGCCAGCGCTTCGACACACAGAATTTTCTGTAGAGGGTTCATCGGGGTCGCGCCGCACCACAGCGCGGGCGCTTCGAGGGGCAGGATCCCTGTGGACGGGGTGAGGCATCAAAAAACTCATCATCAAAAACAAATTAGATCCAGGGATCAACGAAAAACTAAAGAAAAAATAATGGGAAATGCAGCCATTTCCAAGACTATTTGCCTTGGTGGCGGTGGTGGTGTCGTTGATGTCGTTGCTGTCGTCGTTGGTGGTGGTGGGGTCGTTGATGTCGTCGTGGTCGTCGTCTTGGTTGCTGTTGTTGTTGCTGCTCTTCGCGTTAAACCCCCTGGAGTGTGGCTGTCTGGCTTTCCCCTTCTTGTGTGTTGCCGAATACGTTTATGTTCATTTCTTCGCGGCTTTAGAGAGCGGGGAGTTTAGTCTAAAACAGCGAGGGTTTGGGGGGGGAACTCGCCCTATTTGCAAAGCTGTTAAACCCTTCAGGATTGATTGTGCTTTCTTCGCGGTAAACTCCCCTGGAGCGTGGTTGTCTGGGGGAGTTTAGTCTAAAAAAAGCGGGGGGGTTGGGGGGGGCGCAGCCCCCCCCATTTGCAAACCTTTTAAATCCTTCAGGATTGATTTTGTCTTCTTCACGTTAAACCCCCCTGAAGCAGTGTTGTCTGGTTTTATTCTTTTTTTGTGTTGGCGAACACGGTTTTATTTATTTCGTGGCGGCTCAAACGACCGGTTGGCAAACACGTTATTGTTGATTACTTCGTGGCTCAAGAGAACTTCCAAGTCATTCATGATTGATTGTGTTGCTTCGCGCTTAACCCCGCTGAATCAACAACCCGAGAAAATCCGTGTTCTGAACCTGGGTTCTAACCCGAATTAGAACCTAGGTTCAAACCCAGGTTTGAACCTGGGTTCCGAACCTGAATTTCCAACCGTCTGCCTTCCTTCTATCTTTTCTTTCTTTCTGTTCTTCTTCCTTGCTTTGGTCCTTGTTCTGGGGTGTTTCGTTCTGTCCTCCTGGGTTCTTTTCGTTTCAGGTGGAAAAAACCCAAGAAAAGCACACCAAATCTGTCCAAAACGTGAGGAAAATAGTGTTTCCCCAAGGAAAACCATGGAAAAACACCAAACAAAAATTTCAACAACAAGATCCAAAATAATAGGCCTTCCATATGTATATATATATATATGTATATTTATATACACACATATGTACTCTCTCTCTCTCTCTCTCTCTGTGTATATATATACTATATAAATAAATAAATAAATAAATATATATATATAGATTATTTACACTATATATACTATATATATATACACATAAAATTTTATAATATCTACTATATCTACTATATATACTATATATACTATATATACTAACTCTACTACATATGCTATATAATTATGTATATATTATAAATATACTATATATACTATATATACTGTATAAACTATATATACTAAAGTTATATCTCCTGTACTTATTACATATACTATATATATATATATTGAAACTCTATGTATATCTGTATATATATACTAGATATACTATGTACACTAAATATACTATATATACTATATACACTATATATTACTATATATAGTATATATTATATATACTATATATTATATATACTATATATACTATATATCTAAATAAACTCTAGATATATATGAAAAAACTATATAGACTCTATATACTGTAGATATTACATTATATTCTCTTATATTATATTTCTTTCTATTTATTCTATTCTATTCTCTTATATTACATTATATTATATCTTTTCAATTCTATTAAATTCCATTATATTATATAATCTTTTATGTTATATTATATTCTATTATATTCTATGATATTCTATTATATTCTATGATGTTCTGTTATCTATGCTATTATATTATATGATATTCTATTCTATTCTATTTTATGATATTCTATTTTATGATATTCTATTCTATTATATGATATTCTATTCTAATATATTATATTATATTATATCTTTTTATATTATATTGTATTTCTTTATTATATTACATTATGTTGTAGTATATTACAGTATATTATACTACATTAGATTACATTATATTACATTATATTACATTATATTACATTATATTACATTTTATTATATTATGTTATATTACATTACATTACATTATATTATATTACATTATATTATATTATACTACATTATATTAGATTACATTATGTTATATTATACTATATTATATTATGTTAAATTATATTTTATTACATTATATTATAATATATTATATTATATTCCATTATATTATATTATAATATATTATCCTTACTGTACATACTATATATATATAGTATACATATTTTATATACAACATGTACTATGTATACTATGTATATATATATATATATATTACTGAAATACTACCGTCCTTCCTTTCTTCCTTCTTTCTTTCCTTCCCTGTTTCCTTCCTTCCTTCCTTCCTTCGTTGCTCTCCTCCCTCCTTGCTTTGCTTCTTTCCTTTCTTCCTTCGCTCCTTCTTCCTTCCTTCCTTCCTTCCTTCCTTGTCTCCCTGCTTTCTTCCTTCCTTCCTTCCTTGCTTCCTTCCTTCTCTCCCTTCTTCTTTCCTTGTTCCTTCCTTCCTTCCTTCCTCCTTCCCTTTTTCCTTGCTTTCTTCCTTCCCTGTGTAAATAACAG